AAACCAAAACAAGTTGCGTCGAAAACCAAAAAAAAGATGCGTCCCAAACCAAAACAAGTTGCGTCGAAAACCAAAAAAAAAGATGCGTCCCAAACTAAAACAAGTTGCGTCGAAAACCAAAACAAGTTGCGTCGAAAACCAAAACAAGTTGCGTCGAAAACCAAAAAAAAGATGCGTCCCAAACCAAAACGAGTTGCGTCAAAAAACCAAAGATGCGTTGAAGACCATAGATACGTTGAAAACCAAAAAAGATGCATTGAAGACCAAAACAAGTTGTATTGAAGACCAAAAAAAGATGCGTTGAAAGCCAAAGATTTGTTGACAACCAATAAAGTTGCATGCGTTGAAGACCAAAAAAAAGTACGTTGAAGACCAAAAAATGATTGGCGTTGAAAACCAATAAAATTGTATGCGTTGAAGACCAAAAAAAAAAGGTACGTTAAAGACCAAAAAAAAGGTACGTTAAAGACCAAAAAAAGGTACGTTGAATACCAAAACACAAGTGCGTTGAAGACCAAAAAAGGTACGTTGAAGACCAAAAAAAGGTTGTCGTTGAAAACCAAAAAAGATGTGTTGAAAATCAATGCCACTTCTTTGAAAAACAATGGTCTTCTTCATCGTACTGAACCAGGGAGTAGGGCTGAACCAATGACTTCGTCATTGTCCATTAATGACTTCTTCGTAAACCAATCAATTCGTTGAAAACCAACATAATTCGATAGAAAACAAGTTGCCGGATTCGTTGAAAACCCGAATCGATGAAAAACAAACTTTAATCGTTGAAACCAAAACTTTCTTGTCAGGCAAATTCCAATAAAAAGAATTTATCGGAAACACAGAGAACGATGCCTTCAAAACTCGTACTGAAATGTCGTCAGAATTATATTCGATGCCACCCCTAACCTAACTTGCTCATGATAAAAATTCCAAAATCTCCAGATGGTCGAAACAACAAATCAAAACAATAAAATCAGAGATTTTAAACGAATAACAAAACTAAAGACAAATACTCGAACTGCGGACAACCAGCGCATGCGCAAACCAAAATCCACAAGATCCAATCCGCAAACTAAAATTCACCACGGACTTTTTGTGTATCGTCAAACCATAAAATACTTACATTCCTATACGAATTATATACTAAGTCACAGACGAATCATATAGAGATTAAATTAATTGTACGGGTAGTTATGTTTGGTTGAGGACGAAGGAATGCTTAGTAAGCGCAACCGAGTTTTTAAATACATATAAGAATAATATAATCGAAGACCAAAAGCTACAAAAAAATAACCAAAACTCGTAGTTTTATCGAATAGGAATTAGAATTTAGGGCTCCAAATGACAACAATTAATCGGAAATTCAGTTTAGAACTGAAAGAATTTCACCCGCGTTGAATAAATTAATTAACTAGTTAAATCATTTAATTATTTTAACGTTCATGCTTCATAACTAAAAGAATTTCACCCTCGTTAAATAAAAGGAAACTATCTATCTATAAATACTCAAAGATAGCCGCAAATTTCTAGCTTTTAAAAAATAAAGATGGTCCTCTAGGCTAAAAAAACTCACGCATTGGTTGTCATGAAGCTGCCATGTGGTCACGCCTAGTGGTAGAGTCAAGGAAGGTGGACGGTTTGAAAATTAGGTTCCTGTAAAAGAGAAAGAATCAATGAATAAACTGGCAACTCAAATAAATAGACACTGGTATACTGGTATGCAACCCCCCCCCCCCCAAACCCAAAAAAACAACAAAAAAACAAAAAAACTTTAAAACGCCAAAAAAGGGAGTAAAAACTTACTTCTTCGACGTCGTGGTGCATGTTCTTTGTCATGTGGCGCCATAGAGGAATGAAGGTGGACGACTTGCTTGAACTTTGAGCTCCTGGAAATTGAGAAAATATAAATAAATCTAATGCACAAACCAACGTTATAGTGAAAAGAAAATACTATATATTTTGTGAATTTTTATGAACTACTTTTGACTTGAAAATTCGAACCTTTGGCGGGAATTTCAAAAATTCAAGGTAGAACTTTACAGCTCGAATTTTGAGTTAAGAAATATCAAAGAAAAAGTCTGTATATCAGGGAGATGATCTTAAAGCTTTGTTTTCCAGGCTAATAAGTTTAAACAAACGAAAGAGAAGAACCTTTTGAAAATATTGCGCTTTACGACTCGCAACGCATCCCGAATGTTAGGGTATAGGTCTTGCTCAAACTCGAGTTTACAAAGATTTCGAGTATCAGTTCACCCAAGGATTTCTTAAAACATCGAAATACTTCTATTATGCTTTTAGTTAGCCGAAAATAAGCATTTTTTAGTTAAAGAAAACGGTATAAATATAGATAAATTTAAGTAATACTCACCAAGATGAAGTCAGGAGCGAAGCAARGCTGCACTGTCGAGAACCCAAGTGAATGCAGCAACCATGTGATGTCAATCAAGCCTTTTATCCTATCAGGTGATGAGTTGAATTATCACGTGAAGAACTTGCCAAAACGCGTGAGAAATCACGTGCATATTTCGCGAGGGTAGCGGCTCACTGATTGGTCAGTAGAGTTGGCGAAAGTCATGGACGTGCAAGGCGCCTGTTTTGTCAGGTTTTAGCGGGAATATTAATAGAGTTTGGGGGTTTTAAGATTCAAAATGGCGTTTAGTTAATTGCTGTACTGCTTTACACTTGACGTCTTTTCATGTCTCGTACGGAATGTTTATCAGCTGAATTGCAAGTTTCAATATAGCACATGGTGGTCAGCGTTTGACCAACATGTGGCCGAGCAGATAATGAGGTTCAAAAACTTTTATCCACTTAGTGAAGCCAGTAATATCTAAATAATGTTGAATACTTTAATATGCGAAAAATACCATTAATCTAGGGAATGTTTTCAAAAAAGCAAGAAAAAAACTCGAAACTTGTTGCTCTTTTGAACAGTCTCTAGACAAACAAAGATTTGGTCTACCTGTGGTCCACAACCAGACCTTTTCTGAGATAACGAACATAGTGCATTGTGGTCTAGCTTCAATACAAACATTTTTTGTTTATCATGCCTTATATGGTGTTCTTCGTTCTATTGCCCACTGGGTGAGTTCGCTATTACGAAGATTAGACTTAGTGTGATTGTGAAAAGGCATAGCACGGCACACGGCATGGTCATGGATTGACTGTTGAACCTATCACACCGCGCAAGGGTACTACTTATCCAATCAAAATGCTCCGACTCCGGCGACTTGGCTCCGCCACGGCTCGGTACGTGCACACGCAAGGTCAAAAGTCGTACTTCACATGAATATATTTCGTATATTCAATCTTGTAGATAGATTTTTAATGAATATGATTCTAACAGCATTCTACAATTTTATTTTTTTACAATTTTTTAAAGTTCCCCTGTTCAACGTTTAAAGATAAACTGGCAAAGGATTATGGGCCTGTATATATTATGGGATAAAAGATGGCGGAGCTGTTTCACCTCGGTTTCCCAAAATATCCCACAATTCAATGCATGATAAGCTCGTTTCCTGTCCTTCTTTAAAATTCAAAAAAGACAAATGGGTAGCTTTAATAGTAAAATAACTTATAATGTATGCAATGTAAAAATATTTTGAATTTTTATCTATAAATATTTCTTTTACAAGCCATGCTTTATTTATTTTTTATACTACAGTGCCAAGATATTATCGGAGTCAACGAGAAAGATGATTTATCATAATTCTTCTTTTTCCGCACTTGGTTCTATTTCTGGTTCAACAAGCGCGCCGCCAGCTGGAGGCCAGTGATCGCCGTCTGCATCATCCCACAAGTCCGTTAGATCATTTTCCTCCCACTCATCCTCACCTTGTCTTTCCTCTTTTGACCAATCAGGAGGCAGCTGTTCGTCAGCCAATTCTCTTTTGACAGGGGGTGGTAGGTTTGTATTTTCCTGCTGCTGTTGCAGCTCAATGACTTCGTTGAACAGGTTTCGAATGGTCTCCAAGTTCTGTGAGAAAACAGGATTCAGTTTGAGGGCCCTTTGGGGATCTGATTAAGGGAAGGATTTCATTTTCTGTTAGATCGATTTGCTGATGAAAGAAGGCAACCTGGCAAAAACTATCGCGATAATGTTGGCAAATTTATATCACAATGGTAATGTTTGTCTAGTGCTGTTGTTCAGATTGAATATTTTTTACATTAAATTCGGCATTACTTATTTAGAAAAGCATGAGTACTGGTGCCTCGTATCACTGGAGCAGCAAATTAATAGTGGTTCTCTTACATCTTGGCTTAGGATGTCCAGCTCTTTCTTAGTAATCACACCATCTGTTGGATCTACGTCTAAGATAACAAAAACCTGGAAGAAAAGTTCAAAATTGTTATGAAAATTAAAAACAATACGGGAAAAGATAAAGAAAACCTGACGTAGCACAGACATTGCGTGTATGTACATTGCTAATAGAGACCCTTAGCATCAGGTTTACCGCTAACGGCTAGGAATCAGCTGGCCCAGAAACACGCCCGCAAACATGGAAAAACACTTAACATCAATGAAATTCAATATGGCGGCTCTTCCAGCGACAACTTTTTTATGACGCCTTACTCAAATGTAAAGTTTGACGGAAGACGCCTGACGTGCGATTGCAAATTTGAGTTTGCGGGGCTAGCAAGAACGTCATGCTAAAGGTCTCCATTATACCGCCTCTCACTGCTGTGGACTTGGGTTCGATCCCCTGACTTGTCATCAGGCGTCATCGTGAAGATGCTTCTCGCGGGTGCTTTTTCCCTCGTTTAATGAAAACCCAGAAATTCGTAAGTTCCTGTGCGCAAAACAGGCTTAGATAATCCAGCTGCCGATGTGATGCACTCTAATCTACTCTCTTCCTCAGGGCAAAGAGGTGTTTTTTCCTCGTTAATGAAAACCAAGAAAAGCATAAGTTCCTGTGCAAACCTTTTTCATGAGTTCTCTTATCTTGCCGTCCATTTGTGAATCAGGTTCCACAAGATCGCCTGCCTGTTTCAGGAGAAAAGGGGAAATAGTGAGAATAACAAATAACGAAGCCACGTCTCAAGGCAACGACTTTGAAAAACATCGACAATTTCCAGGAAAGATTGATTTTTTTTTGGAAGGATAACTTGCTTCTTCTGTTTTAAGTCCTAGCTGCTCAATGCGCGCTCCTTTTGGGTGCAATGCTTTAACACTTTCGGACTTGTACCTTTCTTTTTTTTTTTTTTTTGCCGGTCCAAATACTTTGTCCCCTAGAAAATTTTATTCAGTATGAATGTTAGACTAAGGTCAAACTCCGAACATCATGTGAGCCGAACCTAATGACATCAAAGAAGACCGTCTTGTTATCCCTTGTCTCATTTTAGGTTCGGTTCATGTGAAGTCCGACGTCTGACCTGAGCAAGTACATGTTAAAAATAGTACCTCTATAATGACTTCCATCAAATCTTCAAATCTCATTGGTCCCTTGGTTTTGATTCTGTGGTTCAGTCTCCCTCTGTCAAGAAATATCATCAAATTTTAACGATCGAGTAGGTAATTATGACCTACGATTACAATTTTTTCTAAAAAAAGGTTCCTTGTTTTCTCAAACTTCGACTATAACTTCTTCTTACCCATAGTACACTATAATGCCTTTATCCATTTAAGACCACCTTCCACTGAATATTATCTCTTTCTCTCTCTTTACCGGTAATGAGTTTGAGAAGATAAACTTTTCCCATATTTCAGACCACATGTCATTCCCTAGAGTATCATTTCTTTGTTAAGTGGTTGCGCATGAGAAGTCACAAGAATTTGGATACTACAACTCACTCAAACAAAGAATCTTATTTTAAAGAAAATGACACGTGATCTAAATATGGAAAATCTTATTGCCGAGCCGAATAATCCTATTGACGACATCCGTAGAACCAATCACAGGCACAGCACAATCACATCCTTTCTATCCCGTTTAGCTGCGCCACTGCTGTATTTGCGGTGGTGACAACCGATAATAAGTTTTTATCGTTCATCCAATCAAAATGCAAGGTGTTGGTCACGGCACGGTCATTTATTCTGGAAGTGAATTCAATTGGTTTTCAGTTACCTGATCATTTTATGCTCTGCATCGTAGATTTTGTCGAACCCGACAAACGTCACATCTTTTAGAGTCAGGTTAGCATCAGGATCGCAGTGATCAAAGTCTACTTCCGCCTTGTTTTTCCACCATATGTTGACTGCTATGTTGTGATTGAATGACGTCACCTGATGCACCCTACGTGTAAAAATGATGTCACATCATCATGACGTCATCTAAATGCATCTTAAGATTACGTCATTTCGGTAATTTAAGAGTCAAAATG